GACTGACTGACCTTCATTTCTTAAAGTAATGATGGCCACTCGTTTTTCTTTAGTTAGCTGATTGGTTCTTGCCATAATATGAATTTTAACAGTTGTCCAATAGGGCTGTCGGCTGTGTATTAACCTGACTTCTGCACAACACAACTGATGGTCCCAACCCCATTGATAAAGCAAGAAATTCCACTAATTAACCCTGATAAGGCACACCTGTGAAGTGGAAACCATTTCAGGTGACTACCTCTTGAAGCTCATGGAGAGAATGCCAAGAGTGTGCAAAGCAGTAATCAGAGCAAAGGGTGGCTATTTTGAAGAAACTAGAATATATAACATGTTTTCAGTTATTTCACCTTTTTTTGTTAAATACATAACTCCACATGTGTTCATTCATAGTTTTGATGCCTTCAGTGAGAATCTACAAAGTAAATAGTCATGAAAATAAAGAAAACGCATTGAATGAGAAGGTGTGTCCAAACTTTTGGCCTGTACTGTATAAGTGCTTAAACAGAACCAGTGTGGGTTAAGACTTGAAGTAGACGTTAAAGCAACTGAAGTGAGAAAGCAGGCTAGTAGAATTCACCAGAGCAGTACAGAGACGCTGTCACAGAAACACCGGAAATGACACAAAACAATACATAAAACAATTCATATCCCATCCATTTTTATTTTACGCGCTGATATCGGATCGGTACTTGGTATCGGCAGATACCTAAAGTTCAGGGATCGGAATCGGTATCGGGAAGGAAAAAGTGGTATCGGTACATCTCTAGCTAATATTATATTTTAAACAAGCACAGAGTGCTTTCCAGCTACTTGCAAATTGTTACTAACAAGATGAAACAACAACTGTTTGTGTTTAATGGGTTAGCTCAGTTTGTCATGTATCTTAACACTTACCAGCAGTAACTTGACCTGCAGGCAGTGACTCTCCTCAGCAGCAGAGGGAGGAGCACAGAGGACAGCAGGACTGATACTGACTGATGCCTGTGTTCTTAATTCTTTGTTAACTTAACTCAGTATTGTGATGTCATGAGTGTGATTCATTTTATTGACATTTTAGATGTGTTTCCAGTGAGATATTTTGTGAGATATAAGTTTATATTGTGACTTTGCTGTTTTAATATTACTGTTGCTGCTCTAGAAGCATTTAGTTATAAAATAATCAGTGTCAGTCCTGTTCTGAATTTCTTCTTTTTTGTTTTTAATAATTCCATGCAGAATTTACAGCATTAGCTCTCTGAAAATCTCTTTCACATTCTAGCAAAAATTGGTATTGTAACTGAAATAGCCCCACCAAATTGATATCATATCGAATTAGATGGAATTGTGACCTTGTGAATCAAAAGTTAAATCGATTCAGGAAATAAGTGGTGATCCCCAGTCCTAGTCTTGGTACCATGTCTGAAGGGTTACTTTTCCTTCCGAAGGTACTCTACCGAAAGTGTTTGGTGGCAACGAGGTTTTAATGACTGGCTGGTGAGCATAATGGGGCATTCAGCAGCAAAAGTGGCAGATCATTTTTTTAGGAGCTGATGGTGACCAAAGCAGAGCTAAAAGGACTTTATAAGACATAAAACTCCAAATAAAGACCAATGTTGCTCTGTGTCTGCTGTGAATATACCACTGTGTGCTAACAAGGCCATCATGTCATGTTTGTAATGCAATATTGTATTTCTCCACCTGTAACTTCATTGGTCGTAGCAGGACTGCAGGTGAAAATTAGCTGGTTGGTAGACACTGGCACATTTACAGAAAGCTGGTTAATATGTGTTGTCCTTAAGAAATGAATCAGTGAAATAAAGTGATATTGTCAGTTTTGTGTTGGCAGCATGATATCCTGCCCCCCAGTGGCCAAAGAATTCACTAAGCAGTTTCAATAATTCACTGTAACACATATTGTATGTATATTATATATTGTGTTCTGTGTTTGCACTAGTTATTGTGACCTCCTCTGTGTTCCTCCCAAGCTAGTTTGTATGACATGATTGTCCAGGCTTTACCAGACACTGAAACCTACATTTACTCCATGACAGTTGAACAAATGAAAAGAAGATTGACGGTTGACAGAAAAACCGTGTATGCTGTTTTGACAACATAACAATACATACATCCAACACACAGTATTTACTGAATGATTTTCTAACTCAGGATATTCGGTGTTGCTTACCTAAACAAATCATATTGAGTGGTTCAAGAAGAGCCTCACTGCAGTGTGCAATTCTGTGCTGCGCTCAGCATGGGCAGATTCAAACGTTGAGTGCCGCCATGCATGAGCAATCCCGACTGCGTTAGCTGCTAGTCAGTTAGCTGCTACTCTGCGGTTTCTCTTCGCCCCTCTCTTGGCCTATGAGACTATTTTTGTTGTGAGGAGAGCGACCAGCTCCTCTACAGAGGCAGAGACGGACTTACAGTACCAACTCAAATTCAGCCTGAGCTAACCAGCTAACCCACTGCCTGGGGTCACAGGAGCTTGGTGGCCAGCGGCTGCGCTGGGTCTGACCTGTGTAATTAGAACAACAGAAGCTCGCAAATCCAACAGGTAGTTGGGGTTTGCGCTGGCGGAATTGGAGTTGCTACAGCCGATAACTTAAGGTGCATCGCCAAAGCTGCTGTCTGCTCTCCACAGCCAAGTAGTCTCATATGGGTAGTAAGATGGAGGGACTACGGGGTGCAGTACGGTTCATCACAACAGAATACGACTACAGTAGCTTGGAAAATAGCAATATGGAGCTCTGAATTTGATGAATGTATGTGTTATAATGGATCCCACTACTTTCCTCACCAAGTCCTGCCCTTTGAAATCTCTGAAAAAATGGACACAAGTCCACAGCTCCACATCCAGGGGTATGTGGACACTGAAGGAAAGCCAAAGGCTGTGGGCGCGAACCCTGCCAACCTCCCACCCTTCTATGACAGAGCATAGCACAGCTTTGGTCAGCAGGGCTTGCTGAAGGCAAGAGGAGAGCCAGGGCCCACAGAGCATGTTGGAGAACCAGAGGGAGTGCAAGAGTCCACACACCCCTGGATTTGGAGCCTCCAACAGGCTCTGTAGGTCTTGGCTCTCCTTGCTATGACTGCCTCTCCAGCCCCGGTAAAACCTCCAGCATGTTCTGTGGGCCCTGGCTTGACTCTCAGCCCCCTGGGTTTATCCCACAGCCTGTAATCAATTTGTAATTGCGTCCTTATTTCTTTGTATGCAGCCAATGTTCTATGACAGGTAGGGATTATATTACAAATATATGGTACCAGCGTAATGTGTTTTCAAGGCTGCACTGTGTTCACAATGTATTACTTCATGAGGGATTGATGTCCACCTTCAGGTGGTGCTGTTGAGTAAGTCAAACATGCTCAACATGGGTGGAGTTCAATGTTTGACTCCGCTGGTGTTGAGCACTGCCCTGAACTGCATCTAGGGGGTATTTGATAGTTCAGCAATGCAGTTGTTAAATTCAGATGTTCTAAACACAAACTGTGAATGTCTCCTAAAATCAGGCAACCTCATAGTCACGCTCACATAACAGATGTGTTTCAGCAATTACCAAGACTGGAGTTTAAGAAGAGAAATTTCTCTACCTGTTTCTTGAATGAACTCTCCTTTCTCTTTCTTTCTTGTCTCTCACTCCCTGTGTTACTCCTTTCCGTGTGTCTCTCCTGACCCCTCGTTCCATCCTCAGATACTTGATAAATTGTTGGACAGGGAGAGTCAGACCCACAAGCCCCAGACTCTAAGCTCCTTCTACTCCAGCAAGCCAGCTGCTAGTAGCCAGCGCAGCCCATCCAAACACACTGTTGCCAGCCACAGTGGGGTGAGCGGGGCCACCGGGGGTGTCTCCAAACATGCCCCCACATCTTCATCTGCGACCACTGGGCCGCCCTCTTCCTCTGCTGTGACAGTGGCTGGTGAAGAGGTTGCTCATCAGGCTGAACTGAACCCAGTGCAGAACAATACAGCAGGAGAGAGCGCTGCTGAGAACAGGGAGCATGGTGAGAACCTCCACCCCTGCCACCCCATCTCTGGGTGCCATGTCATACTATACTGTAGAGCATCCAGAGCAGCTTTCTTATAGTTATTAGACACTCTGGCTCATGGGTGAGCAGAAGTTCAGCAGTGTAACTTGGAGCCAGCCCATGTAGTTTTAAAGTCATCAATTAAATCTTCAAATCAAATGAAATAACTGCTTTGATCTGAGTTTACATTTCTAAAACCTAGATATCCTGTGCTATTATGCATAATGTAATCCCATTGTGCTAACACATCTTCCCCTGCAGTGTCAGATGGACCTCCTTCATCAAGTGACCAGCAGAATGACACAGCTCCATTTAAGCTGGAATCCACAGTGCCAAGTCGGCTGGCGCTGGGGGCGCGCTGTGGATACAGCCAGCGCTGCTGGGGCTCACCTGTCCGGCAGAAGAAGAAACACACGGGTAAACTCAAAAATGTGTACATTCTTTAAACAGAGCACAGCATCCTGTAACACTGTTACTACATACACGTCACAGAATTAACTTAACTTCACTTAAATCCACATAATCAGACAGGCAGTGCTGATTTTTAGCTTGGGTCATATTTGTGGTATTTTTGAAAAAGCTTAACATAAAAAACAAGTACACATAATAGTGATGTGAAGTGCATGCTGTTTTGACAGGCATGGCGAGTATTGACAGCAGTGCCCCTGAGACAACTTCAGACAGTTCCCCTACCCTCAGCCGGCGGCCGCTCCGGGGTGGCTGGGCAGCAACATCTTGGGGGCGGGGCCAGGACAGTGACAGCATCAGCAGTTCATCGTCTGATTCACTCGGCTCCTCCTCCTCTAGTGGCTCTCGGAGGGCAGGTGGCGGGGCCAGAGCTAAGAACACCGACACCAGCAGGTAAAAATGCTTTTCCTCCTCATTACATTCAATTCAGCAATGTTATTTGTGCTTGTGCTAATTAGCCATAACTTTTCTATAAGCACCTTTCAGTTGTACATCTGTACATCCGTATCTTCCATTTACACGAATGCAATATCTCAAGAACACCTTGGGAGAATTTCTTCAAATTCAGCAGACATCCACTTGGACCCAAGAATGAACTGATTAGAATATGGTGTTTGGAGGTCAAAGGTCAAGGTCGCTGCAACCTCATAAATCATGTTTTTGGCCATGACTCAAGAATTCATGTGCTAAAATTATACATAAATGTCTAATATGATATAATGATGAAGTGATGGCTTTTCATATTAAAGAGGTCAAAGGTCAACTTCACTATGATATCTTTATGTTCTGCAAAAACACTTTTTTGGCCATTATTCAACATCATGTCTCAGGAACAGAAGGGGAGACATTTGGTCAGACACTGAATTGGTGACACTAATCTTGGGTGTCCACCTTGAAATTGTGCTGATTGTATAGATCTTCTGCGCTGTCAGCGGATGATGTGTGTGAAGCATTCATGTTTTTGTAATGTGAGGGTTTGTGTTCTCATAGACATGGATGTAAAATGTAATTGCAACTTGACTGGTGTGCGGAGGCAATAATTCTAGATTTTTTTGTCAATGAAAGGAGACAGTTAACATAACAAACAGGAGAGCAAAATTCCAAATACAGAGTCCTAATGCATGTAATAAGCAGGAGGCCTAAGGTACCGGTACAGTCAAGCAATAAAAATGTTAATGAGAAATTAGGTAAATCTAAGTTGGAAAAATGTCCAGGCCTGCCTTTGTTGAGCAGGTGTTCCTGAAAACAAATCTGATTTACAGTAGATCTATTTAGGTCTCTGTTCTAAACAGTAAAGATTCATTCTAAATCATATGTCGTATATTTCTCTGTGATCAGGTACAAAGGGCGACGTCCAGAGTGCCACGCCCCCCATGTACCCAACCAGCCATCAGAGGCAGCAGCCCATTTTTACTTTGAGCTGGCCAAGACTGTGCTGATCAAAGCCGGAGGAAACTCCTCCACCTCCATTTTCACCCAGCCTTCAGCCAGTGGGGGACACCAAGGGCCCCACAGAAACCTGCACCTCTGTGCCTTTGAGATTGGCCTCTATGCTCTTGGCCTCCACAACTTTGTCTCACCCAACTGGCTGTCTAGGACCTACTCCTCCCATGTGTCGTGGATCACCGGTGAGAGGGAGTGTGTGTGTGTGTGTGTGTCTGTGTGTCTGTGTGTCTGTGTGGGGGGGGGGGGTTGGTACTGCTCTGTTTCGTCCATATCTACAAGCTTTCGGGAAACATGCACAAATACAGATGAAATGAACACAGAGTATGGGCAGAAGGCTCTGTCCATGTCCGTCCCTGTATTCAAATCCAGTGTCCTGTCTTTGCTTTCCTTCCTGCCCACATACTGTGTCCTCTCTCCTTCTCTTAGGTCAGGCCATGGAGATTGGCAGTGCTGCCCTCAACATTTTGGTGGAGTGTTGGGACGGTCACCTCACTCCTCCAGAGGTGGCATCCCTTGCTGACCGAGCATCACGAGCCAGGGACCCCAACATGGTACGGGCAGCAGCAGAGCTGGCCCTGAGCTGTCTGCCCCACGCTCATGCCCTCAATCCTAATGAAATCCAGAGAGCCCTAGTGCAGTGCAAAGAGCAGGTACTGTGGGAGTGAGTTTACAGTTCAGAATAATTGATCAGCCCTGTCAGTGTGTTTGTTGTGTGATTGATCCTTAAGATGAAAAGATATAAAAAAAACTTTTTAATGTAATTTTTAGTGTGAAACATAGTAATTGATTTGGTCAGTTATCTAATTAACTGGGTAAATGCCAAGTGCAAAACACTTGCTTTTATTATATACAGTCAGGTCCATAATTATTTGGACAATGATACAGTTGTCCTCATTTTGGCTCTGTACACCACCACAATGGGTTTTAAATGAAACAATGAATACCTGCTTAAAGTGCAGACTCTCAGCTTTCATTTAAGGCTTTTTTCAAAAATGTAGTATGAACCGTGTAGGAATGACAACCATTTCTTCACACAGTCCCCCGACTTTAAGGGCTCATAAGTATTTGGACAAACTAACATAATCATCAATTAAACAGTCAGTTTTAATACTTGGTTGCAAATCATTTACAGTCAATGACTGCCTGAAGTGTTGGACACATAGGCATCATCAGATGCTGGGTTTCTTCCCTGGTGATGCTCTGCCAGCCCTTTACTGCAGCCGTCTGCACTTCCTGCTTGTGTTTTGGGTGTTTTGCCCTCAATTTTGGCTTCAGCAAGAGAAACGCATGCTCATTTGGATTCAGGTCAGATGATATGACTTGGCCATTGCAGAACATTCCACTTCTTTGCCTTAAAAATGTCTTCGGTTGCTTTTGCAGTATGCTTCAGGTGAATGTCCAACTGCACTGTGAAGCATCGTCCAATGAGTTTTGAAGCATTTGGTTGAATCTGAGCAGATAATGTATCCCCAAACACTTCAGCTTTCATCCTGCTGCTCTTGTCAGCAGTCACATCATCAATAAATACAAGAGAACCAGTTCCACTGGCAGCCATACATGGCCATGACATAACAGTACCTCCACCATGCTTCACTGATGAGGTGGTGTGCTTTGGATCATGAGCAGTTCCTTCCCTTCTTCCTTCTCTTCTCTTCCCATCTTTCTGGTAGTTGATCTTTGTTTTATCTGTCCATAGTATGCTGTTCCACAACTGTACAGGCTTTTTAGATGGTTTTTGACAAACTCTAATCTGGCCTTCCATTTTTAAGGCTAACCAATGGTTTGCATCTTGTGATAAACCCTCTGTATTTATTCTAGTGAAGTCTTGTCTTGCTTACAAGAGCAGCAGGATGAAAGCTGAAGTGTTTGGGGCACCATTATCTGCTCAGATTCAACCAAATGTTTCAAAACTCATTGGACGATGCTTCACAGTGCAGTTGGACATTCACTTGATGCCTATGTGTCCAACACTTCAGGCAGTCATTGACTGTAAAGGATTTGCAACCAAGTATTAAAACTGACTGTTTAATTGATGATTATGTTAGTTTGTCCAAATACTTATGAGCCCTTAAAGTCAGGGGACTGTGTGAAGAAATGGTTGTAATTCCTACACGGTTCATACTACATTTTTGAAAAAAGCCTTAAATGAAAGCTGAGAGTCTGCACTTTAAGCAGGTATTCATTGTTTCATTTAAAACCCATTGTGGTGGTGTACAGAGCCAAAATGACGACAACTGTATCATTGTCCAAATAATTATGGACCTGACTGTATTTGTGTCAAGGTGTCATATGTACTACAAAGCGTTAGTATGAGTGAGGTGTGACGAAGAGGAAAGAGAGTGAAAGTAAAATAAATACAAGAATGCTAAGGAGGATAATAAAAGTCGTAGTGAGAATCAGTTGTATCATGAAAACAGAAGTGGAAGCATTTGGAATTGAAGACTGAGCTTCATCTAATCTTCATTAGAATGGAATGGAAAGGAAGCTGTGTGGCTGCAGAGGAAGAACAGAGACAGGTTAATGATTATGGCTCTGACGCTCTAACAGGGACCTCTCCACAGAGGTGGGAGTAAAGGCGGATTTATACTTACACGTCAGCTCTATGCAGAGCCTACTCCGTTGCAAGCATTTATACTTGTGTAGTGGTGTGTCTGTGTCACTCTGCAGGTAAACCTCCAAAACACCAGTTGTTGGTGGGGTTTCTGGTGAATTGCTGTAAAGTTTAGTTGATTCAAAATATACCTAAAACATACAATGAACATGGCTTAATAGAGACAATTTCAAACACAAATACACAAATTGGCTTCATTATAACTGGCAGAATTCACAGACAAAGCACTTGTCTGTTGCTGGACACATTTTCTCCACATAGAACGTGCTAATGTTATTAGCACAAGCCTATGGCATTTTGCAATGTATAAATTAGCCTAGTGGAGATTTCCTCTACTCCTATGAAGCCAGGGAAAACAGCAACATTTAACAAATGTAGCCTTACAAAATTCGGCTCCATTACAAATCACAAGGTTCAACAACAAAACAACTCTTACACTAAACACATTTTCCAAACAAATACAACATGCTAACATTATTAGCACAAGCCTACAGCATTTTACACTGTATAAATTAGCCTGGCAACAAGCAGAGATTTGCTCTACTTACATGAGGCCAGGATAAATCAGACACAAGACTTAAAATGCTATTTTGTGGGGGCTTTATTGTCTTCTCAATTTTTTCTTATCTGTGAAATAAAAGTAAATAAAAGCTTCATTTCCTCTGAGGGAAATGGTTTTCAGCTTACAAAAATTGTCAGGAGGTCTGCCTTGCTGCGACATGAAGTTATATTTCTAGAGAGGTACATGTCAGGCTACAGCATAGGCTACGGTGTAGGCTCTGCGTTGATGCAGAGTACGGTGTGGAGTCAATGCAGAAGTATAAATCCTGTGTAAGTCATACATGTGCAAGTCTCAAACAAGTCCCAAGTCACTGTGGTGAAAGTCAAGTTGAGTTCCTGCTGCAAGTCAAATCATACTTACAAAGTCATAAAGATAACATAAGCTGCACCCAGTGGTGAAATTTAACTAAATACAATTACTCAGGTACTGTAATAGAAATCTGAGGTTTTTTTCTCATCCCTTCAACTCCACTACGTTAATCTGACAGCTTCGGTTACTTCATTTCTCTAGCAATGAAGATTTTTGCACACAAAATATATGAAAATGTACAAGTAAAGCTGGAACTATGAGTCAATTCATGAATTGACAGAAAATAAATTGGCAACTATTTTGATAATCCTTTGTAATTTTTTCATTCAAAAACATGTCATTGGTTCCAGCTTCACAAATGTGAGGATTTTTGTGGTACTTTTGCTAGGTAGTAATTAATAGTTTTAGTACTGAGGTTTGAATTGTGGGTTGGACAAAATAAACATTGTAAAGGTGTCTCTTTGGGCTTTGAGTGAATGTGACGCCATTTCTCATAATTTTCAGAATTCTTACAAACCAAACAATCAATCGTTAATGGAGAAAATAATAAGCAGATTAACCCATAATAAAATAATAATTAGTTAATAGTTCAAAAGGAGCTTCCCCCAACTACAACAATAAAATCCTGCTTTTAGATTAATGCTGGGTCAGAATCATCAATAGTATCACAGTCACAGGGGACATTTTTCTTAGTACAGTACTTTTGCCTTTAATACTTGATGTACATTTTCCTGATTATACTTACATACTTTTACTTAAGTAACATTTTGAATGCAGGAATTTGACTTGTAATAGAGTATTTTTAGAGGGCGGTATTAGTTACTTTTACTCAAGTAAAGGATTTAAATACTTCCTCTCCTGCTCCAAGCCCTCTGGTCAGGGTGAAAGACTCCACTCACATAACATACCTGCTGCTGTGAGAGAGCGGGGAAGATCATTATGCACTGTTAAAGTCACAACAAGAAGCGCACATAGGCACGCACACGAGGGATGCACAATATTGGATTTTTTGACGATAACGGATATGCCGATATATAACAACTTATTTGACCTATACCCGATACGGATATCGATAAATCCACTTTTTTCCCCATCTAATTTTAGAGATCATCAAGTCTCTTCTGCAGTGGAATTAACATCATATTATGCATGCATACTCTTATCCTGATGGCCCACCAGCAGATGGAGACATGAAATAGAATGCTTTTGAATTTATGTAATATTCATTGTGCAAAATAAGAAAAAGCACGTAGGCTGATTCTGATCATTCCAATGACATGCCGATATTATCGTGCATTCCAAATGCACACACTGAACTTACGTTTGGAGAGCAGGCAGGGACAGTTGTTATGGACTGTGGCAGTATCAAAACATTGTACAAATAAGATTGAAGACATTCTGAGCATGTCAGTCTGCAGCACATGTATCTGCACTCTACAGTGTTGACTGTATGTGTGTGTGTAACGGCCCTCAGCTGACAGTGTGTTGCTGGTTACCAAGCACGTTTAATGCAAAATTAGTTATTGAAAACTTAATTCACATGTAGAACTGAATAAAAGCACACAGCACAGCTCATGATGCTGCCATACATACTGTCATTCCTCTGAGGAGAGCTGTGCAGGAGGACAGAGCTGTCATAGTGCAGGCATGAATACCAGCTGGCGGGTCCTTTCCCCGCTGAGACATCGTCATGTTTCAAAAACAAAACCTAATTTCTCAATATCCAGAAAAATACAAATGTTACATAAAAAGGTCAAGTCCTTTCAAGTCATCCATCTCAAATCTTAGTCAAGTCTTAACTCATAAATACCAAGTCAAGTCTATCATGTGTTAGTCAAGCAAGTCTCAAGCCCTCAAATTTGCTGGAATCATGTGACTCAAGTCCCCCACCTCTGCCTCTTGTTAGTTAAGCAGGGTGCCTGTGGAAGAGCATGGGGTCTGGGGGGATGCTGTGGCTTTTGATAAGCAGCTGCTACCAACCACAGGTCCACCCTGTCAGGCCAACATTAGGTATTAGCATCAACATGGGACTCCGGCCAATCTCAATTTGAAAGAAAAAGGATAAAATGCAATAAGATTCTCACTGAATTTCAGCTTTGTTTTCAGGTAAGGGTATGAACAGAGGGTATGAAAACAGCAGACATAACATCTCTGCTTTTTCAGCTGCTGATGTAGTTTGCTATTGATCAGTCATGAAAAAACATCTGTATTCTTGTGAATCTGTGCTTGTTTGCCCATCTTTAATTCCTGCATGTGGTGTGAACATCAAATCTGAACTTGAAATTAGCTCTTGCCTCACAATATGAAATACATTTCATAGGCTAAATCTTTTTCGAATTTTCGAATTTGATTAAATTGCAATGGCAAAATACGAATTACAGCTGCTTACCGTTGCCAATTGACACATGATTGTTTCTTTTGCTGGTTACGTGCTCACAAAAAAGTAAGTAGGTTTTTGAAACCTGTCGAAAAAAGAACCGGTAAAGAAGATGATACATGATTTCTGTCCCTAACTGTCCACTGACTGTCCCTGTCTCCCTCCAGGATAATGTGATGCTTGAGAAGGCCTGCATGGCAGTTGAGGAAGCAGCCAAGGGTGGAGGTGTGTACCCTGAGGTTCTGTTTGAGGTGGCTCACCAGTGGTATTGGCTGTATGAGCAGTCAGTAGGCGGGGGCGCAGGCCAGCAGCGGGAGACTTCTGGGCGCTGTGGGGCCAACGGGGGCTCAGGCAGGAGGGCCCCGGAGTCCAGCTGTGTTGTCCTTGACACAGGAGCCAATATGGAGTCTACAGGGGTGGCAACAGTCACAGCCTCAGTCACTGCAGCAGCCGTTGTACCTGTCATCTCTGTGGGCTCCACCATCTACCAGTCCCATGCCATGCCCGGGCAGGCCATGGCTCACCCCCACAGCCAGGGCCTCCACCCCTACACCACCATTCAGGCTCATCTCCCAACTGTCTGCACCCCCCAGTACCTTGGACACCCTCTGCAGCATGTTCCCCGACCCACTGTCTTCCCTGTAGCTGGGGCTGCGTATCCACAGGTTGGAATCACTTATCTATACACTACCATTAGGCTTTCTGTGGGCTTTTTATTTTGTTTAGAAATAGCTTAAAATGTGTCCACAACTGCAATTTGAAATTTCAGTTTCGATGTTGTCTGCAGAACTCCATAAATGCTTGCAGGTAATTAAATAATTTATCCCTGCACTTATTTTTAGTTTGAATACAGTGTTGTATTTTTCAAAATTCATATACAAAACATAGTATTTCTTCAAATTTGGCAAAAACATCCACTTTGAGTCAAGTATGAACACATCAGAATTTGGTGGTCAAAGGTCAAAGTCACTGTGACCTCACAAAACATGTTAGTAAACAATTACTTTGCTAATTATCACAGAACTTCACATACAGTACAGGCCAAAAGTTTGGACACACCTTCTCATTCAATGCGTTTTCTTTATTTTCATGACTATTTACATTGTAGATTCTCACTGAAGGCATCAAAACTATGAATGAACACATGTGGAGTTATGTACTTAACAAAAAAGGTGAAATAACTGAAAACATGTTTTATATTCTAGTTTCTTCAAAATAGCCACCCTTTGCTCTGATTACTGCTTTGCACACTCTTGGCATTCTCTCCATGAGCTTCAAGAGGTAGTCACCTGAAATGGTTTTCCAACAGTCTTGAAGGAGTTCCCAGAGGTGTTTAGCACTTGTTGGCCCCTTTGCCTTCACTCTGCGGTCCAGCTCACCCCAAACCATCTCGATTGGGTTCAGGTCCGGTGACTGTGGAGGCCAGGTCATCTGCCGCAGCACTCCATCACTCTCCTTCTTGGTCAAATAGCCCTTACACAGCCTGGAGGTGTGTTTGGGGTCATTGTCCTGTTGAAAAATAAATGATCGTCCAACTAAACGCAAACTGGATGGGATGGCATGTCGCTGCAGGATGCTGTGGTAGCCATGCTGGTTCAGTGCGCCTTCAATTTTGAATAAACCCCAACAGTGTCACCAGCAAAACACCCCCACACCATCACACCTCCTCCTCCATGCTTCACAGTGGGAACCAGGCATGTGGAATCCATCCGTTCACCTTTTCTGCGTCTCACAAAGACACGGTGGTTGGAACCAAAGATCTCAAATTTGGACTTATCAGACCAAAGCACAGATTTCCACTGGTCTAATGTCCATTCCTTGTGTTTCTTGGCCCAAACAAATCTCTTCTGCTTGTTGCCTCTCCTTAGCAGTGGTTTCCTAGCAGCTATGTGACCATGAAGGCCTGATTGGCGCAGTCTCCTCTTAACAGTTGTTCTAGAGATGGGTCTGCTGCTAGAACTCTGTGTGGCATTCATCTGGTCTCTGATCTGAGCTGCTGTTAACTTGCGATTTCTGAGGCTGGTGACTCGGATGAACTTATCCTCAGAAGCAGAGGTGACTCTAGGTCTTCCTTTCCTGGGTCGGTCCTCATGTGTGCCAGTTTTGTTGTAGCGCTTGATGGTTTTTGCGACTCCACTTGGGGACACATTTAAAGTTTTTGCAATTTTCCGGACTGACTGACCTTCATTTCTTAAAGTAATGATGGCCACTTGTTTTTCTTTAGTTAGCTGATTGGTTCTTGCCATAATATGAATTTTAACAGTTGTCCAATAGGGCTGTCGGCTGTGTATTAACCTGACTTCTGCACAACACAACTGATGGTCCCAACCCCATTGATAAAGCAAGAAATTCCACTAATTAACCCTGATAAGGCACACCTGTGAAGTGGAAACCATTTCAGGTGACTACCTCTTGAAGCTCATGGAGAGAATGCCAAGAGTGTGCAAAGCAGTAATCAGAGCAAAGGGTGGCTATTTTGAAGAAACTAGAATATAAAACATGTTTTCAGTTATTTCACCTTTTTTTGTTAAGTACATAACTCCACATGTGTTCATTCATAGTTTTGATGCCTTCAGTGAGAATCTACAATGTAAATAGTCATGAAAATAAAGAAAACGCATTGAATGAGAAGGTGTGTCCAAACTTTTGGCCTGTACTGTATATCCAATAGGATATAATGATGATGACATTTTATATCCAAAAGGTCACAAAGGTCAACTTGACTGTGACATCACAATGTTCTGCAAGAACACTTTCCTGTCCATTACTCAATTTATCTCAGGAACAGAAGGGAGACATTTGGCCAGATACTAAAATTGGCGACACTAATTTTGAAACACTGCTAATTGTATAGACCATCTGTGCTTCTGGGGGAAAGATGTGTGTGAAGCATCCACAAAATATTTTCTTTTCTGAGATGTCTGAAGCCTGCCTAACAATTCTACAACAATGCATGATGTCTATGACTAGAGGCATGCAGATCAATCTTTATAGCTGTTGTGCTATGCAAATATTCTCACACTTCTTTTACCATAAAACTTCAACATAAAGCCTAATCCCAATTTAATGCCCAATTCCTTTTACTAACCTGGCGTGGCAACACATTTTGACAGATAAAGTTCTTTGAATGTTTAAAACTGGGTTGTTGCTACCTCAAGTTGTGTGTCCTTTCCCGATCTCCCTGGAAGTTATTCATATTCCTTTAGTCTATAAGGGTCCTTAGATCAAAAGAATCAAAAGGGTTTTAAGTAAAAATTAATTCAAGTTGTGAATATTGTTTTAACAGGCTAAAGTGGTGTTTTGTTGGTATACCAGATGCTGTAATTCTCGATTGTTGTAACTCACTATCTCTCTCTGATTCGCTGTCTCTCGGAGCTAGATCAAATTAATGATTCATAATTTATCTATTATCTAAAGCCTCATTTTTAGAAAAGTAATAATTATACTGGTTTAAATAAACAATTTTATTGGATTTCCCATTTTTTGAGCAACAGTTTTGTGACAAAGGAATTAAAGACCTGACTTATATAGATACCTATCCCATATATAGGCCTGTTGATTTCACTGATTTAAGCAAATAATTGCCCGGGCTACTAATTGAAGTTTTACGGTACTTTACATGGTAATGGTATGAGTGCAGCTGACTCAAGCTAACTGTTTGTGCACATGAATATACAGTTCAATATATGTGTGTGTGTGTGTGTTTGTGTTTGTATATTTTCAGGGAATGCACCCGGCCTTTATTGGTGCCCAGTACCCGTTCTCAGTGGCCACTGGCCCCCAGCCACCTATGGCAGCCACAGCTGTGACCTTCCCTGGTGTCCCCGTCCCATCCATGACTCAGATTGCCGTCCATCCCTACCATGCTGAGACTGGCCTGCCCCTCAGCACTACTGTAGCAGGTCAGGACTACTCACTGTGTGTTTTTCATCTGGGTTTCAATCCAGATCTTTAAACTGAGGCTACCTCGTTATACATTGGTAAACCTCACAGTACCATGGGAGGGGTTATTGTGTGTTTGTCTATGCTAACAGGCAGATGTACCTGTCATGTTTTACAGTAGGCAGCGTCCACTCGGGCCCCACCATGCAGGCCATACAGGGAGCATCACTGCCCTCCCTTTCCTCCCAGCCCAGCTCATTGGTCAGCACTCCTTTCCCAGCAGAGGACGAGCAGCATAGCCAGCCAATCAGCCAACAGGGCCTGCACTACCTGCACTCTGCCTACAGAGTTGGTGAGGAGTTTGTGTCCTATGATTATATTTTACTCTAAACAATGTGCATATAGTACAATTGGTTAATTTAACACATTTAATCTCCATTGTTCTTTTGTGTGAAGGCATGCTGGCATTAGAGATGCTGGGCAGGAGGGCTCACAATGACCACCCAAACAACTTCTCCAGGAGCCCACCTTACACGGAGGATGTCAAATGGCTGCTGGGACTGGCTGCGAGGCTAGGTGAGCATGCACATGGACAATAATGGAGGGATAATTTGAGTGTTTTTGGTTTGTTAACTGATTTTTGGATTGTTAAGGCATCCAGTACATACATGAGTATGGCTTGAGGCATACACCAGGAAAATTACTTCAGTTAGCTAGGTAGGTACCCTACTGTAGGTAGTAACAGACCAACTACAGTATCATGACAGTGGGTTTTAGTAATTGTGAGTATGAATGAGCAGACAGCAAAGCACACAGTCTGAAAGAGTTTGATGGTGTTGTGCTTGAATGCATTGAATCAGAAGTGAAACAGTGACTAGTGAGAGAGATCAAGTCACAAGTAAGTCTCAAGTCTTTGCACTCAAGTCAAGTCACAAGTCGAGATTGACAAGTCCTAATTCCTAAACCTTGACTTTTGAGTCCAGAACAAGTCAGAATGTGCGCTATACCAAATGTAATTACATTTTAATAACAGAGTTATAATGTATTGCATATTCAAAAATCATGAATTCTTGTTGGGGGGCCAAGCCTTAGGGGCCGAGGGAACGCATATGCAAGCAGACGCGTTTCCTAGGACCAGCGGTGCTAGGAACCCTATTGTTTTTGTAAAGATTTTTATTTTTATTCTTCCATAGGTAAAAGTGGTGCTGCAGGCTAAACCGTGCAAGGGAGGGCGGTGCAATTTGGAGGGGTGGTCCAGACCCCTGCACGTACCTCAGACGCAAAAAACTATGTATATTTGCCTGCAGGGGGCGCTATAACCTAGGCCAATGTGTTTTTGCCTATAGCTCCCACACCGTATGTCGCACATTCAAAAACCTTGTATCCCCAGCTTCCCTGAATAGAGATGAATCACTTTGCCATAGGCCACGCCCACTTGCGCCTAGGAAATTTTTTCGCGAAATCGCAAAAACTGGAAAACCTACTTTTTTGAACTTCTCCTTGGGATTTTGTCCAATCTGCGTGAAACTTGACATATACACTCTTCTACTGGACCTGATCTAAAATTATCAAAAGAATTTTATTCGGTCAAAAAATGCGCAAATTATTAACAAACAAACTTCTATAGCTAGCTATAAAAATGCAAACTGTTGGATATCTCGGTCAAACTAAATGCTATTAACACCAAATTTGAGATTATTGGTTGGCATAAGACTGTGAGGGTATGAGCCGAATTTGGCGAATTTTGGCAACTAGGGGGTGCTACAAATATGGTAAGTTTATATCTCTTTAACGGCTGCACCGATTTCTACGAAATTCGGTTGGTATGATGTAGGGCCAATTCTGAGGTCATATCTTGAAGATGGTCATGACTGGTCAATGTGGGCATGGCTTATTACAAGATAAACAACAAACATTAATTTCAGCCAAACTATTATGCTGAGGGCTTTGAAATTTTAAGGGTACATACAGAATAGGACACAGATCTTCCGTACCAAAAATTGCACATGTACTCCACTAGGTGGCACAATAATGGATGCAAACGCGTTTTTGCCTGCAACTTACACATTTTAAATGAGACTTTCACAAACATTATATCCATGTGTTCCCTGGATAGAGCTGGGTTTTCTGACACAGGCCCCGCCCACTTCTGCTGCACATTCTTTTTGCTAATTCGCCACATGTCCAAAACCTACTTTTTCGAACTCCTCCTACATTTTAAGTGCCACCTGCCTGAACCGTTGCACATAGAATCTCCAGATGTGTCTAATGAAAAGTTATCAAAAGAATTTTGGCACTCCAAAAAATGCGCTTGTTACAACCAAACAATCTTTTTTGCTAGCTAAAAAACACACATTGTTTCATATTTCGCTCAAAGTAGATGCTTTCAACATCAAACTTAAGTCACTCATTCCCGAGGTCATCCAGAGGCTTTGTGCCAAATTCGTCGCAAATCGGTCTATAGGTGGCGCTATAACGGATGCAAAGGCAGTTTTGCCTGTAACTTCCACATTTTAAATGACACATTCATAAACATGCGCTCACCCAGAGCCCGTCGTCCTTCGGGGACAACTTCCACGGGCTCTGCGGGACGCGGGGACCGAGTCGCACGGGGGGGCTTGGCCCCCGTTCATAACTGCTTGCAGTTCTAGTTGAAATTTGTATTTATGTATTAAAACAAGTTGTTAAAAAGTTTTGTCGCTATTGAATTAAAGTGATCTAAGCATAAGCTCACTGACTATGTTAATAGTAGTCTGGGCTTACCATTGTCTGTTGTTGCATGTTGTTGCGTCTACATCTGTGATTTTCAACCCGCACATTTGACATGCTGTTGCTCATATTTTTTTTTTTTGACCACTGTATAGTTTTTGTAAGCGAACAGAACATTCTTTGATATCCTTTTTTCTACTTGGCGCTCAGTTCTTCCCAGCTTAGTTCTTCATGGTTCTCACTTGCAACTTGCTGTTGGATTGGCTCAAACAAAGTGGGTCATCTGGGGAAGTGTCAACCTGAATAGCATTAACTTTAGTTGATTTAGGAAATGATGGGATTCAGTGGGATTCATGGCCAGTGTTGGGTAAAGGTTACTTTAAAAGTAATCAAAGTACGTTACTGCATTACTTTTTAAAAAAGTTACATTAATGCATTACTCCATGAGAAAAGTAACTCAAGCACTTTTAAAGTACTTTTGAGTATTCTACATTTCCTATTGGGCAATGGACCACAGGGCGCTAAGCCTACATTTTTTTGTCTCCAAAATTAAAGTTATGGACCACTTGCCCTTCACTGAGATCCAATTCTCCCATCACAGCCATCACTTTGACCAGTCGAAACACAGAACGATCTGCTGCCGTAGACAACTGTATGACAACAACACCCCAGCATTTTTAATATTTCCTCTAGGGATGTTACCACACAGAGTAAAAGGGGAAAATGATGGTGTGAAACAGCAGAGGCACTTTGTCAATCTGCTGAGTTAATGTTACTGTCATTAGCGTCAAGCTAGCACACAATAGTACATCCTCACGGTCAGACATAAAGTAATAACATTAACAAATAGCGGTGGGGCTTTTACTCACCACAACTGCAGAGGCTCTCAGCTTCATTTGAAACAAACTACATTATAGACGGTCCGTTATTTATTAATCCCTCTGTGTTTATATATTTACTTTTTATCCGCTCTGTTGTCTTTATAAAGTTAACATATCGCACCATCATTTCAAACACTTGTTTCAAATTAAAAGCCCCTCATAACCTCAGCTGAGAGAATCCCTCAATTTTCTAAATAGGCTTTTATTCTGAAACATTTGTCAGAACTTCCTGTGGAAGATACAGGAGCTTGATAGTTTATGTATGGCGCTTCAAATGTAGCTCCTGCCATCTGCTGACGCTTTTAGGTGACTACAACAACATGTTGGCTGGCACATGAACAGACACAGTTCTGGCAGTGACTCAAATAATAGTGAAAGTAATAAAAATAGGACAAGAATAACCCGATGACATCACACACGCCGTGAAAGACGACTGGGGATAATTGGTGAGTACCAGCATGTAGCGTGGCATAGCGAGGCATAATGCAAGTCCTAAGTCTGAAATATGTCTGTCAGCGAGTCCTACTCCACCTATCTAGACTCCACCGTAGACAACGGCAGCATTTCTCCGACCACATAGCGAGCCACAAGCTCCGTGGCTTCTTTCAGACTGATAGGTTTAACGTTATCTCCGTTATTAGAACCAAACGACAACCGTTGCTGTTTCGGAGCTGAAGGACCAGCGTTCTAAAAGTAACGGAAATAACTGATGTCTTGTTTGAAAATGTACTTAAGTATTTGATTACTCAAACAGCAAACTAACGCATTAGGTTACTCGTTACTGCAAAAAGTACTCAAAGTACTAGAGTACTTTGAGTACTTATACCCAACTCTATATGGCACACTTTTTGAATAACATTATTTGGACTTTGGGAATGGTATCAAGTATCTTCAAGTCAAAACTGTGACTTAAGGCTGACTCAAGTCATGTGACTCAAGTCCACATTACTGCTATGAGATAACATGTAGAGTCTCAGCTATAAGGGTGTTTGATAGTGTTCGCATCTGTTTTGGATGAACATTGTAGGACTGATGGGACTTTTTATACAAACCAATACCAATTTCAGGACATTGATCTTAAACACACAGACAAGGCAACAAGTCTTTCCATGGCCAAACAGTGGAATTTTCTGGATTGGCCAATACAGTAAAATGATTTCAGTCCATCCAAGCATGTGTACACAGTCTGTATACTATGACTGTCTTATTTGTCACTTCAGAATGTTGCATCAAGTTCAATTTAAATCTGAGTGAACACACTCAAAATAGACTTTACAGACTGTCTGCTCTTCCTTAACCGTCACTTCCTCTTTTCCCTATCTACATATCCACTTCTTTTTCTTTCTTCTCCCTGCCTGTCCACCCTGTAAGGAGTCAACTATGTTTACCAGTTCTGTGTCGGAGCAGCAAAAGGTGTCCTCAGTCCATTCGTCCTTCAGGAAATCATCATGGAGGCTCTGCAGAGGCTGAACCCCGCTCATATCCATGCCCACCTTCGAACACCTGCTTTCCACCAGCTCGTCCAGCGCTGCCAACAGGCCTACCTGCAGGTATGACTCCTCTACATCTTCATTGAACTCATAAAGGCTTAGATGGCAGTGGCACCTCCAGAATTTTTTGCTATGGGTGGCCAGATGTGGCCACTGAAAATCTTAGGGTGGCACACCAAAACCAAAAGCAGTAATGAAATTTCAGGAATTTGATAATGCTGTTGTAGTATATAGGCTAGCTGAAACCATGTCAACATGGAGAGATAATAAATGGCATACTGATATACTTTGGACCACACCCATTGGATGGGGAGTGGCAACATTCACCCTGTAGAACCTGGAGAAAGTGTNTGCCTATAGCTCCCACACCGTATGTCGCACATTCAAAAACCTTGTATCCCCAGCTTCCCTGAATAGAGATGAATCACTTTGCCATAGGCCACGCCCACTTGCGCCTAGGAAATTTTTTCGCGAAATCGCAAAAACTGGAAAACCTACTTTTTTGAACTTCTCCTTGGGATTTTGTCCAATCTGCGTGAAACTTGACATATACACTCTTCTACTGGACCTGATCTAAAGTTATCAAAAGAATTTTATTCGGTCAAAAAATGCGCAAATTATTAACAAACAAACTTCTATAGCTAGCTATAAAAATGCAAACTGTTGGATATCTCGGTCAAACTAAATGCTATTAACACCAAATTTGAGATTATTGGTTGGCATAAGACTGTGAGGGTATGAGCCGAATTTGGCGAATTTTGGCAACTAGGGGGTGCTACAAATATGGTAAGTTTATATCTCTTTAACGGCTGCACCGATTTCTACGAAATTCGGTTGGTATGATGTAGGGCCAATTCTGAGGTCATATCTTGAAGATGGTCATGACTGGTCAATGTGGGCATGGCTTATTACAAGATAAACAACAAACATTAATTTCAGCCAAACTATTATGCTGAGGGCTTTGAAATTTTAAGGGTACATACAGAATAGGACACAGATCTTCCGTACCAAAAATTGCACATGTACTCCACTAGGTGGCACAATAATGGATGCAAACGCGTTTTTGCCTGCAACTTACACATTTTAAATGAGACTTTCACAAACATTATATCCATGTGTTCCCTGGATAGAGCTGGGTTTTCTGACACAGGCCCCGCCCACTTCTGCTGCACATTCTTTTTGCTAATTCGCCACATGTCCAAAACCTACTTTTTCGAACTCCTCCTACATTTTAAGTGCCACCTGCCTGAACCGTTGCACATAGAATCTCCAGATGTGTCTAATGAAAAGTTATCAAAAGAATTTTGGCACTCCAAAAAATGCGCTTGTTACAACCAAACAATCTTTTTTGCTAGCTAAAAAACACACATTGTTTCATATTTCGCTCAAAGTAGATGCTTTCAACATCAAACTTAAGTCACTCATTCCCGAGGTCATCCAGAGGCTTTGTGCCAAATTCGTCGCAAATCGGTCTATAGGTGGCGCTATAACGGATGCAAAGGCAGTTTTGCCTGTAACTTCCACATTTTAAATGACACATTCATAAACATGCGCTCGCCCAGAGCCCGTCGTCCTTCGGGGACAACTTCCACGGGCTCTGCGGGACGCGGGGACCGAGTCGCACGGGGGGGCTTGGCCCCCGTTCATAACTGCTTGCAGTTCTAGTTGAAATTTGTATTTATGTATTAAAACAAGTTGTTAAAAAGTTTTGTCGCTATTGAATTAAAGTGATCTAAGCATAAGCTCACTGACTATGTTAATAGTAGTCTGGGCTTACCATTGTCTGTTGTTGCATGTTGTTGCGTCTACATCTGTGATTTTCAACCCGCACATTTGACATGCTGTTGCTCATATTTTTTTTTTTTGACCACTGTATAGTTTTTGTAAGCGAACAGAACATTCTTTGATATCCTTTTTTCTACTTGGCGCTCAGTTCTTCCCAGCTTAGTTCTTCATGGTTCTCACTTGCAACTTGCTGTTGGATTGGCTCAAACAAAGTGGGTCATCTGGGGAAGTGTCAACCTGAATAGCATTAACTTTAGTTGATTTAGGAAATGATGGGATTCTGTGGGATTCATGGCCAGTGTTGGGTAAAGGTTACTTTAAAAGTAATCAAAGTACGTTACTGCATTACTTTTTAAAAAAGTTACATTAATGCATTACTCCATGAGAAAAGTAACTCAAGCACTTTTAAAGTACTTTTGAGTATTCTACATTTCCTATTGGGCAATGGACCACAGGGCGCTAAGCCTACATTTTTTTGTCTCCAAAATTAAAGTTATGGACCACTTGCCCTTCACTGAGATCCAATTCTCCCATCACAGCCATCACTTTGACCAGTCGAAACACAGAACGATCTGCTGCCGTAGACAACTGTATGACAACAACACCCCAGCATTTTTAATATTTCCTCTAGGGATGTTACCACACAGAGTAAAAGGGGAAAATCATGGTGTGAAACAGCAGAGGCACTTTGTCAATCTGCTGAGTTAATGTTACTGTCATTAGCGTCAAGCTAGCACACAATAGTACATCCTCACGGTCAGACATAAAGTAATAACATTAACAAATAGCGGTGGGGCTTTTACTCACCACAACTGCAGAGGCTCTCAGCTTCATTTGAAACAAACTACATTATAGACGGTCCGTTATTTATTAATCCCTCTGTGTTTATATATTTACTTTTTATCCGCTCTGTTGTCTTTATAAAGTTAACATATCGCACCATCATTTCAAACACTTGTTTCAAATTAAAAGCCCCTCATAACCTCAGCTGAGAGAATCCCTCAATTTTCTAAATAGGCTTTTATTCTGAAACATTTGTCAGAACTTCCTGTGGAAGATACAGGAGCTTGATAGTTTATGTATGGCGCTTCAAATGTAGCTCCTGCCATCTGCTGACGCTTTTAGGTGACTACAACAACATGTTGGCTGGCACATGAACAGACACAGTTCTGGCAGTGACTCAAATAATAGTGAAAGTAATAAAAATAGGACAAGAATAACCCGATGACATCACACACGCCGTGAAAGACGACTGGGGATAATTGGTGAGTACCAGCATGTAGCGTGGCATAGCGAGGCATAATGCAAGTCCTAAGTCTGAAATATGTCTGTCAGCGAGTCCTACTCCACCTATCTAGACTCCACCGTAGACAACGGCAGCATTTCTCCGACCACATAGCGAGCCACAAGCTCCGTGGCTTCTTTCAGACTGATAGGTTTAACGTTATCTCCGTTATTAGAACCAAACGACATCCGTTGCTGTTTCGGAGCTGAAGGACCAGCTTTTTAAAAGTAACTGAATTAACTGATGTCTTGTTTGAAAATGTATTTAAGTATTTGATTACTCAAACAGCAAACTAACGCATTAGGTTACTCGTTACTGCAAAAAGTACTCAAAGTACTAGAGTACTTTGAGTACTTATACCCAACTCTATATGGCACACTTTTTGAATAACATTATTTGGACTTTGGGAATGGTATCAAGTATCTTCAAGTCAAAACTGTGACTTAAGGCTGACTCAAGTCATGTGACTCAAGTCCACATTACTGCTATGAGATAACATGTAGAGTCTCAGCTATAAGGGTGTTTGATAGTGTTCGCATCTGTTTTGGATGAACATTGTAGGACTGATGGGACTTTTTATACAAACCAATACCAATTTCAGGACATTGATCTTAAACACACAGACAAGGCAACAAGTCTTTCCATGGCCAAACAGTGGAATTTTCTGGATTGGCCAATACAGTAAAATGATTTCAGTCCATCCAAGCATGTGTACACAGTCTGTATACTATGACTGTCTTATTTGTCACTTCAGAATGTTGCATCAAGTTCAATTTAAATCTGAGTGAACACACTCAAAATAGACTTTACAGACTGTCTGCTCTTCCTTAACCGTCACTTCCTCTTTTCCCTATCTACATATCCACTTCTTTTTCTTTCTTCTCCCTGCCTGTCCACCCTGTAAGGAGTCAACTATGTTTACCAGTTCTGTGTCGGAGCAGCAAAAGGTGTCCTCAGTCCATTCGTCCTTCAGGAAATCATCATGGAGGCTCTGCAGAGGCTGAACCCCGCTCATATCCATGCCCACCTTCGAACACCTGCTTTCCACCAGCTCGTCCAGCGCTGCCAACAGGCCTACCTGCAGGTATGACTCCTCTACATCTTCATTGAACTCATAAAGGCTTAGATGGCAGTGGCACCTCCAGAATTTTTTGCTATGGGTGGCCAGATGTGGCCACTGAAAATCTTAGGGTGGCACACCAAAACCAAAAGCAGTAATGAAATTTCAGGAATTTGATAATGCTGTTGTAGTATATAGGCTAGCTGAAACCATGTCAACATGGAGAGATAATAAATGGCATACTGATATACTTTGGACCACACCCATTGGATGGGGAGTGGCAACATTCACCCTGTAGAACCTGGAGAAAGTGTCTGGTGATGCCCATGAGGCAGCAGCACAAATGTCCTCCAGGGATACTCCTCTCAGGGCTGCCCAAGATGTGGAGACACTCCTGGTAGAGTGGCCGCTCACACCGGATGGCAGGGGACGATTACTCGCCCCCTATGCATTGCAGATGACATCCACAATCCAGTGTGACAGACGCTGTTTAGAGAGAGTGCAACCCTTGCTAGGGCCACCATAGCAGAGGAAGAGCTGTTCCGACTGTCGAATGCTTGTGGTAGCTGCAATATATGCTCCTAGGGCCCGTACTGGGCACAACAGTTCTGACTTGTCACCCCTCTCTCCTGACGGAGGGTCAAACTGTGCAAGCCTTCCTCCTTAGGGAGGAACGCTGGGTTCGGTCATAGAGTGACCCCTGATCCATCTGATTTCCACCTCAGACATGAGTCACTGACAGACAGAGCATGCAGCTCACTGACACGCTTCGCCGAGGGAATGGCCAGGAGGAATGCGGCCTTATATGACACCCACTTCAGCTCTGCCTGTGCCAAGGGTTCAAAGGGAGGCCTGCATAGTGCATCCAGCACCAGGGGAAGATCCCATGCCGGGGGTCTCGTGGCTCTTGGATGAAGCACCCTCCGAGCCCCCTTCAAGAAGAGGGACACCAGACTGTGGCTCCCCACTGTGCTGTTGTCGACCCTAGCATGTCGACACGATATGGCTGCCACATACACTTTCAAAGTAGAAGGTGAGCGGCCATTGTCTAGGAGGGACTGCAAGAATTCAAGGATTGTAGACACAGAGCAATGCATTGGGTCTTCACTCCGACCCATACCCCAGTTGAAAAATAGCTTCCATCTATTGTCGTACTGCAAACAAGTGGATGGCGCTCTGGCATTTATTATGATATGCCTGACGGGGTCCACACCGCTGCTCAGCAGGGGTTTGGGTCCTTCCAGCAGCCACACACAATTGGAGGCGTTGGGGATTGGGATGCCAGATCCGACCCCAAGCCCGGTTCTAGGCAGGCATATATGAGGGGGTGGTCATAAATGTGAAGGGGCATCATGCTCCAGCACATTTTTGCCATAGGTAGAGCTGACAAATAAAGGTCACTCACTCACTCACAGGATGTGGGGACGCTGTGTGAGTGCCCTATAGAGGGTGTCAAAGCACCGTGGTCTCAAATGTGCTCGCCGCTTGTTTTGTTGTTGTTAACAGTGTTTTCTACATGGGACTGGGTTGTTGTTAGCTGTGTGTCCAACCCCCAACCTAAAGAAATGGATTGCACTTTGTCAGGCCTCTACCCTAAGACCTGTCCAACTTGGGTGTCTCACCTGAAGACTAAGCTCCTGCTGGTATAGCTCTTAGGGTCACTGAGGCACGCAAACCCAAAAGGTGGTAATCCCTCAGGGAGGAAAACTGAAAAATAAAATAAACAAAAAATAAAATAAAAATTAAGGAAAAATAAAATAAAAATATCCTTCATCCAGGCACAACCAACATCTTAACATTTATCTTATTGGATGGCCATTAGGCATCTAGACATATGAAATAAATTTGAACATAATAATTACAATAACCTCACTATAGCCAGTATTTACCAAAGCTAGTCTTATAAAAAATAAAATAAAAAAAAAAACTCCTCAAACTAACAGAAATAACAAACACAACAGATATAGGCTAGAGCAGAACATTTTATACTTCTTGTTTTTGTCTTTTTTTTGGTTTCGTTTTTTTTTTGTTAGCAATTTAACAGATTTCTCTTCACTCCACTCTCCTTTGAGCTACTGAAAGCTGCAGGAGTGAAAAGTTAATAAAAGCTTTGTAAAAATCGCTGTCATTATCAAAAACCAGCGTGCAGAACTAGAGGCTGGGCGGGGCTTTATGTATGGGGTCTGGCACACACAGGGCATTTGTCCTCAGTATGTGACATGCAGCAGGCACTCATCTCTCGCTGTGCTTGTGTGAATAAAGAAACGTTCGCACTGACAGGCTCACACTCTATGCTCACACTGCTATATTTAGGGCCCGAGCAACGACAAAGTCGTCCGTGAGGACCCTATTGTAATCGCGCTGTTTATTAGGGCCCGAGCACCTAGCAGTGCGAGGACCCTATTGAAATGCAAGGATTTTTTATTATTATTATTGTTATTATTATTATTATTATTATTATTATCATTATTCCTCCAAATGAATTGCCTTTTTGGGAGGCTTAACATACCCAAAAACTCATGAAACTTTGCACACATTTCAGAACTGGTGAAAAATTTGATATTTTAAGGGTCTCGTGCGTGGGTTCCAAAAAATGGCTCAGTAGCGCCCCCTACAAAAGTTTGAGGAAACAGCCCCTGAAGCTAGTTTAACCTACATGTATGAAACTCGGCAGGCTTATGTAACACTCAGAGACGTACAAAAAAGCCTCTTGGAGGCATGCTCTAAACCCAACAGGAAGTCAGCCATTTTGAATTTACTGTGCAATTTTGGTGCATTTTTGGCCATTTCCAGGGGTCATAAATGAACGAACTAGTCCTAGAGATTTCATCCGATCGACTTCAAACCTTGGTCTGTCCCATCCCAAGACCTTGAAGATGAAAAGTTATCAAAAGCTTGAGTTTTCGTCAATGCGTGTGACCGTGGGATGGCGTCAAAGTTAGGGGTCTCGCCACTAAACAGGAAGTAGTTTATAACTCCAGCATACATGGTCCAATTTTGGCCAAACTTCACAGGATTGATGACAGTCCCGCCCTGAACACATCTACATGTCAATAATTAGAGATAAACATAGCGCCCCCTACTGGCAATGGGAAATGTCATGTTTTAGACTTTAATGTACATCTCCTACAGACTTGACCAGATCCACTTCAAACTTGGTGAAAAAAGTCATAAGACGTTGATGATGCTTTATTGTGGAAACTGTGAGTTTTCGTCGAAGGGCGTGGCCACGGCCTGGCGGCGAACTTTGATGTTTCGCCGTGATGATAAACGTTGCTGTAACTTGACTCCACGTGGGAATATCTTGCCAAAACTTCACACATATGATGACAGTCCAGCCCTGAACACATCTACAGAGGAATTTTGAATCACCGCCATAGCGCCACCTTCTGGCAACAGAAAGCTACTTTATACATTCTTTGATGTCCCGCTTCTAGCAGGTTAATCAGACCCACCTCAAACTTGCTGGTCTAAGTCCTTAGACCTTGATGATGCTTAAAAATGAAGCTTTTTAGTTTTCATCAAACGCTGTCACCGTGGCGCCGCCTTGTTCGCCATCAAACACGATGTTGTTTTGAAGGGACAAGGGATGCTTGAAAACTCACCAAACGTGGCATACACATCACAGGTCACAAGTCCTGTTGTCTGATGTGATTTTTGTGCTTTGATGCACCAAGATGGCTCAACAGCGCCCCCTAGAATATTTCAATTAAGCAGCCCCCAAAGCTGCTTTGACCTGCATGTATGAAACTTGGTAGGCACCTGTAACACTCTATTACGTACAAAAAAGTCTCTTGGAGCGATGCTCCAAACCCAACAGGAAGTCCGCCATTTTGAATTTACTTGTGCCACTTTTGTGCGTTTTTGCCCATTTCCAGGGCTTGTAAATTAACGAACTTGTCCTACAGATTTAATCAGATTGGCTCCAAACTTGGTGTATGTAAGCGTGACTACGTTGTGACCAAAAGTTATCACAGGATTTGCCCAATGTTGAATGGCACGCCCGCTGCCGAGCGTTGAATCTTGAGGTCTCGCCATGAAAAACGAAATAGCTGTAGCTCTGGCATAAATGGTCCAATCTCCACCAAACTTCACATGATTCATATTAGTCCCGCCCTGAACACATTTTCATTACCATATTGCCTGATAATCATAGCGCCACCTAGTGTCGAAAGGAAGTACTTCTTATCAGACACTTATCTTTGGATTAACCTGAAATTTCAATGCTGTGGTCTATATTTGATGTTCACAAACATGACATATCATTAGTGTCTACGTGTGCTGCAGAGGGTTTAATTTTGATGTCTCGCCATGAAACAGGAAATTGCTATAAATTTGGAGTAAATGGTCCGTTGTCCACCAAACTTGACATGATTCATATTTGTCCCACCCTGAACACATTTATATGACAATATTCCGTGATAGTCATAGTGCCACCTAGTGGTGAAAGGAAGTACTTCTTACCAGACACTTATCTTTGGATTCACCTGAAATTTCAATGCTGTGGTCTATATTTGATGTTCACAAACATGACATATCATTAGTGTCTATGCACGCTGCAGAGGGTTTACTTTTGATGTCTCGCCATGAAAGAGGAAATTGCTATAAACTTGGAGTAAATGGTCCGTTGTCCACCAAACTTGACATGCTTCATATTTGTCCCACTCTGAACACATTTATATGACAATATTCCATGATAGTCATAGCGCCACCTAGTGGTGAAAGGAAGTACTTCTTACCAGACACTTATCTTTGGATTCAGTTGAAATTTCAGTGCTGTGGTCTATATTTGATGTACACAAACGTGACATATCATTAGTGTCTACGCGCGCTGCAGAGGGTTTACTTTTGATGTCTCACCATGAAACAGGAAATTGCTATAAATTTGGAGTAAATGGTCCGTTGTCCACCAAACTTGACATGATTCATATTTGTCCCACCCTGAACACATTTATATGACAATATTCCGTGATTGTCATAGCGCCACCTAGTGGTGAAAGGAAATACTTCTTTCCTGACACTTA